AACAAACGCTAGATATGTTGTATATTCGTAACCCAATGTCAATTGAAGATTTGTTGGATTTTGAGGAAGAAAGAATAAATATACATCAACAATTTAGTGATAATGATTTTATTCAAGGTGCTACAGAAATAGAACAAGTAGAAAATGAAATCATGATACAACCCTTAACCAGAAAGGAACAGTTGGATATTCTGCGCAATGCTCTGAGAATTGTTGATGAAAGAATTGATGATGGTGGGATCACAATGAGGTCTTTACGTAAGCTTCAATCTCGTATTCATGAGGATGTTCGAAAGGAAGAAGCCGAAAAACAGGTTCAATCTACGCTGGATCAATTCTTGAAAAATAATTAGAATTACAATTGGATTTAATTTAGGAATAAATCAAACAAACAGGTAAGATTTCTTTATTTCTTTGTTAAATTTTTCAATCCATTTCTAAAAATAGCGATATGGATTGATAATATTATAATCTAATTTAACTTAATAATTTTCTTTATTAATACTATAATGCATAATAAAATTTAGGCCATTTGAAATTGACTTTTCGTTTAATGTTATCCCCTCTCCATCTCCTGAGATTCCCCAAAAATTAAACAAATAGAAGTGACAAATTGATCGATATAATAGACAGCGTGGCTGCTGGAATTTTTTGTTATCTATGTTTAATTATATTGGTTTAATCCCCCGTGTAAGTGCAAAATAACGTTAGACGAAAATTAAATTCAAACGGCCTTATTTTATTTATGTTAGGCGGATTCTAAAGTTATTGAATGTGGTATTTTACAGATATGATATGATACGATTAAATAACTTAATTTTTTTTTTCTTTTTTTTAATATTTTAATTTTTTTATTTTTATTTTTTTTTTGTTTGTTTTTTTTCTTTCATTGCATTTTATGGTATATGAACAGAGTTATATAAAAATATCACGAAGCACATGAAATTAACAGGTAATTATTCAATAATTTGTTTAAATCAATTAGTTGCTACCTTGACTAACTAGTTGATATTGATTCGT